TCGACGCCATACGAAATGGGCAGGTCCTCCTCCTCCTCCTCCTCCTCCTCCCTATTTCATTGTTATTTTTTTAGTGGGTGAACTGCCACGTGTCAGGCTCTCTCTCTCTCTCTCTCTCTCTCTCTCTCCTCTCCTGTCCTCCTTCCTCGTTCTCTTTATTTTTTTTTTATTTTTTTTTCCAGATCGACGCCATACGAAACAGGCAGCTCCTCCTCCTCCTCCTCCCTTCGTCTTCTTCTCTCCTCCTCATCCACCTCCTCCTCCTCCTCCTGTTGCGAGGATCAGGGTCCTCGGCAGGCCTATGGGGCCCTGTCTGCAGCCTTACCCGCCCTAAGTGAAGGCGGGCCTGGCTTTTTGCAAGAGGCCCTCGACTGTCAATTTCATATTTGGGGTCCAGGCAGTTGAGACGCGCCAGTTGGTTGAAAGAAACACAGGCCGAGCACCGAAGACATTTCCACGGTCTACCGGGCCTTTCCAAAGAATGCAGGCCCTGGGCGTGATTCGCAGCCTCATACAGAGGCAGTTGGGCGCCCAACTGAACGAGGCCCAGCAGCCCAGTAGTCCAGGCAGCCTCCCGGGGCCTTCCGGAAGCTTCTGGGCCCAGGCCAGCCCAGCCAGGCTGCGAGAGCTGGCCAGCTCTTTTCCATAAAGGAAACAGCTTCCATAAAGGAAAGAGCTCTGGCCAGGCAGCCTCATTTAGGCACTCGCATGCTAGAGGCAGCGCTCCTGGAGCGAAGGCTCGCGGCTGCTGGCTGGCGCTGAGATGCGAGGTGCAGCACGTGCGGTCGTGCAGAGGAGGGCGCTACTGAGGGCAGCGCCATAGCCCAGCCACCATTGCTGGTGGGCTTGGACTACAGTGAAGCGCAGGGGTGGTCTTCGGGTCAAAGAGAGGACAGGTGTGGGTGTAGTCAGGGGATAGGTGAAGGATGATGATGATGATGATGATGTGAGGGCACTTACCTTGTATTGGCGATGGTCTGCATGGCGACATCTTCAAGTACTTCGGGCTGCTGCTGATGTCAACAGTTGCATTGTCTTTTTGTAGTCTCTAGTAGCTGTGTAGGAGCAGGCTGGGCGCTGAGCGCCAAGTGTGAGTGTGAAGGAACTGGACTCTTGTGTTGAGGGGAGAGTGTGTGCTCTCCATGAACATTGGTTTTCATTGCTACGAACTTCCATTGGTGTATTATTGGTGCAATGCTGCTCTCTGGACACAGTGTGACTATCTGGCTTTCAATGTGATGGTGTGAACTGAAATTGTCATCTCGCTGTTGCTTATTTTCCTTGCAATTTGGTATCGGAGCTGGTTCATATTGCGCTTCATTGGTTCTTCGCAATAGCTATTGGTGCTTCGCATGAGGTGTGGGGCAGTAATAAGGCATTGGCGTTGAACGTTAGGCGGCCCAGGGTAGAGTGGGCGGGCCAGGGAGCTATGTGGTGACATACGGGGTGTATGCTGGATGATGAGAACTCGCTGATGTGGCATATTAAGCCGAGGTGGAACCGCATTCTGCTGTTGGTTGTGCCGAGGCAAGGACCGGTCATCATAATTGCACATCAGGTTACCGGTGAGAAATCTGTGGTTGGGGACAGCATTTATGAGGTACGTTGCTCTCTTCCTTATCTACCCTCTTCATCTCTTCTTACAGGGAGGAAGTGAGTTTTGTCTTGAGAGTCCTCTCGATGTGAGGTGTCGCGAGCGCTCAACCTTGAGAGTCGACATTCTTCCTGGGCAGCAAGCTGGTGGGAGACGGGCGAAGCCTCTGAAGGGCCCTGGACGAAGCACTCGGGTCACGGTCACCATGCCAACCCGTTGGGACTAGTACACGCATGCTTTGCAGCAAGTCCTTGGTACCGCTGCTTGCGCAATAGAGGTCGTGCCGGGCATGCCAGCCTTTTATGAGACGCTTACCAGACCGTCTATAAATATTTTTGGTTGGGGACTCGGATTGAATCTGGCTGTGATCGTATCTCCTTAAATTCTTCCTGATCAGCCAGATCAACCGGGTGTAAGGCTCGCTCCGTACGAGGGTAAATAAGAGTGGACTGGCTGGCATGTTCGGCAATGACTTGGGGCACAGGGGTGGGCCGGATTGCACACCTTCAAACACGCTGCTCAACCAGACGCTCAGGAACGTTGACACAAAGTGACTACTCAAGAAGAATACAGGGGGAGGGGGGATTCCGGTAACTGTTCACAATGGCAATCAACTATCAATCTGCCATCTAGTATACATCTCCAACAGGAGATGTTTTTTTTATTTTGATTATCTAGTTGTGACAGACTTTGCTAACAACTGACAGACAGCTACAGACATATTAGATCTTTGCTGTAGTGTAATATGTTCCAGGGTAATCCAAAAGTATAATTAATATATCCTGTAGGACGTAACATTAGCTGCTAATATATCACCTAACTGTTTCTGTTCCATCCGATCGAGATTAGTTGTGTTTCATAATTGGTTGTGTGTCAGGCTAAGGTAGGATTCAGTGTGGAGTCTAGTTTAGTCACACATTGTAGCTGTAGCTCATGAGTGATGCAAGCACTAGTGAGGAGGAGTTACTAGTAGACGACCGTAGGACTACTCTAGGGACTGCTCGTAGTCAATCCTTGACATTCTTGGAGTTAGGTCCAGGAGACGAGAGAAGATTGCGGAGAGAGGCTAGAGAGAGGGCAGCGGCAAGGAGAGCGAGGGCAGCTGAGCATAGTGCCAAGACTAGAGTCTCAGCTAGTCCCGGTACAACAATGGCTACCTCAGCTATGTGGCAAGTCTCTACACAGTCCACTTGGTCAGGAGTTAGTCAGGGTGGCTCTCAGGTTTCCACTAGTCAGATTGCTAGCTTGCAAGTCAGCCAGCAAATTCACCTCACGCCGGAGGACTTCGAAATCCGGCAAGCACAAGAACTTCAGGATGAGCTACAACGGCAGTTGGACGAGGCAATAGAGAGGAGAAGAAAAGCCATAGGGAGTAGAATGCAGGAGCTAGTCAGAGACTGGAAACACTAGACGAGGCAGCCTTAGACCCTGCTGGTCGTGTGCTGCGCAATGCTTTACTTTCGGTAGCTGAAGCGCAGAACGTCCAGCAGGAATTGCTGGCCGATTTGGCGGCAGGCCAGAAACAAATCCTGGCTGAACTTCGGGCTCCTCGCATAGCGGCGAGGCAGCCACAGTTTGTTGTAGTTCCCCCTGCGAGTGCGGGTCCATCATGGATGCCGCCACACACAGGGCAAACCTTCTCTCCTATGTTTGGCAGGCCCCCTCCAGGTGGTTTGGCAGCAACTGGTGGTCCAGTTCCAAGAGTCTCAGCCGTACCATCCACGATAGTGGTAACTACAGTCCCACTGTCAAGCCAAGCCCAGGTTAGTGTGCAGCAGCCTGTTTCAGTGGCAATGCAGCCGCTGCAGCAAGCCCCTGGGCCCATGCAGCCTATGCAGTGGATGCCCAAGATACCTCTGATGAGTCCCAAGCCTTTCTCTGGAGATAGAAAGAGGAGGAGGACTTGGACACCTGGGTGAGGACTGTGCCTACTTATGTGAGGGACAAGCTCACTAGGCCAGAGTAAGAAGTTGTTGTGGCTGCCTCTTTTCTAGAAGGGTCAGCAACTCGCTGGTTGAATGGTCTAGTGCAGCAACAGGGCTACGGTCAGGATTTCGATGCCTGGGCACAGGCTCAGACATTGGAGCAGTTCGTACGGTCTGTCGACAACAGGTGGCATGACCCGCAAGGGGCTCAAAAGGCCACCGATGCTATCAACAACCTTTGTTCCCGCAGGTTCAAGGATGTTAGAAAGCTTACATACACCGTAGAACGCCTTCTCGTGGTACCTGGTGTGCGTTTTGACCAGCAGGTTCTCTTGACGGATTACCTAAGGTGCCTACCTGCAGAGGTAAGGACCAAGCTGGTTGACGAGGCCTATGTCGAACAGCACACCTTCGCTTCTTTTAGTAAGAAAGCTCTGGACATAGAGGCAAAGTTGGGGTGTGCTCATAAGGTATCTCATGATGGTAGGAAGAGACTACCTCAGGACTAGAAAAAGAAAGGTCAGTTAATGTTCGTTGACCATGATGGTCAAACGACAGAGATTGACGAATTCCCAGACCTTGGGGAGTTGACAGAGCAGGATGGGGCCAGTGTGACTTTGGATGGGGAAGTCGTGGTGCCCATCAAGGAAAAGGCTAGGGGGACCGGCGCCTGGTACGTTCCAGCACGCGATGAACCGGATATTTCATGA